TTCAAGACCTGCTTCACCACACTGCTGGTGTATAGATCACTTGAGTTGGGGACTGTCAGACTCTGTCATTTGGCTGACTGTTGGTGACCTGCTCTGCTGTTGGCTGCCTGTGGCTGGACTGCCTATATTGCTACACAGAAGACTCAACTCTCTGCTTCCTTGACCTGCACCCACAGCCCTTGTGATTTGAAGGACTGCCAGTGTATTAACTGTCTCATGGAAGAGAGTTGAACTAAGCCATCTGTACTACTCTGTGGACTAATTAGCTGTTTATTTCCTCGTGTTTTATATATATATATATATATATATCCATATATGTATATATAATCACAAATGTCCTGGTTTTATTTCTCTAGGGAACCCTATCTAACACATACATCAATATTGTTTCAGAAGCATTCCTTATTTAATAGTTTGGTATGGTAATGAAACCTTTAAAAGTAAATAAAAAGCTATTTTAGCATCTAATCCACATATTGGATTATTCATATGAAGAGATCATTATAATTTGTAATTTAAACATAAGGCTGGTAACTAAAATTCAGTATAATAGTTAACCATATGTGTCTTGATTTTAAGTCTGTCTTAGTAGTCTTTTATGACAATTAAAAATAAATTTTACAAGTGGTGCATGAATCATTGAGTGAAATTAATGCATTATATAATTATAATTAGGTAGTCACAGGAGACCATTATGATACAATCAAAATTCCATTCCATGAACATTACAACTTTTCTGAAACTGTGCAAAATCAGTTGGATTTAGCTTTCTTTGGAAGTTTTCCTCTCACTTTGTATTTTCAAAATCATTTAGTTTTCATGAAAATATGTTATTGCCTGAAGGCCAGGACAATTACTCTTTTATCAAATTATAGTTTCTAAGGCCTATATTTCAATTTTCAATGCTGGAACAAATTATAGGGGTAATGTCTAACTAAATTTAAGAACTAGGAAACAAATACATTTAAGGTCATGATTCCTTCAAAGACACAGAATTGCTAAGAAATGTGGGAATAAACAAATGAAGAAAAATGAAATAGTAAATTAATCAGAGGGTTTATGTCTACTTATACGTTGTTTATTGTTTATTCTGTTTGTGCTCCCTTCAATGCTCAATAAGTTTAGGAAAATGGGGAGATGATTATCCTAAATGATTTAAATACTTATTTGCTTTATCTGAATAGTTGAGTGATAGCTCAATTCATTTTCATATTTCATCAATGTGGCATCCTACGATGACAATGTAATGTAATTGTCCATACAATTAGAGTATTATGTTAGGTAAAGCCTCATATTCCTGAGTGGTTACAATTGCCTCCTAATTTATTTTCATGACGTTGAAATCTCCCATTCCAGTCTATTTCAGAATCATAACACACAAATCTGATAAGGCCACCATCTCAGCAAGACACTCTCCCATGATTCCTCCAGTAACTTCTATAATATGGAATTGAAAAATCATGTTCTAAATATGGCAAAGCACTTTTTTTTCCTCGCAATTAGTACATGTGTCACCTTACAACTTCTTTCATTCCCCAAAGTTTTCGCTCATGGATAGAACTACCTGTCTCAATATTGCCCCTAGCCCTTTACGGCTTTCCAAACCCCATAATTTGTCCTTCAAAATTCAGTATCACCTTCATTTCTGTGCTTTCTGCACATGCTTTTATTATAGAGTTCATCACCTTTTTGTTTGGTGTAGCAGAAATTTCCAGTGTCCCATGCATGTCCCTTTGAGTATTGGTATTCACAACTGCAAGCTGGCCAAGAAATACCCATCAGTATGACTGACTGCCCTTATGTCAGAAAGACAACCTAGCCCGCTTGTGTGGGAGACAGGGAGTGCCAAGTTTGCACTTCCATCCTCCTCAATCAAGGACTCTCGGAGTTTGGCATATGCATTTTTTAATTCCATTACTCTCAGGAGAGATGATTTTGGGGCATATGTTTTGGACCATTTCCCAGAGTTTTCCTTCAGGATTAAGCTCAGTCCTCATGTAGCTGGCTTAACAGCAATCCCTTTGTTGGCCGTCTTTACATCATACATCACTTCCTTGCTTTCTTATTAGTGTTACCTTTCTTATTAGCGTTATCTGTATTTCTCAAAAAACAAACAAAAAAAACAAACAAACAACTTATACCTGCATCTTTTGTCCCTGGACTTTCTTCTGGAGAATCTAAAGGAAGACAGTTGGTAGCAGAGGCATTGAAGGGGTAGAGGGGAAGCTAATGTAATCTAAGCTCTGAATTTGAATCAGTTGCTAAACCCAGGCCCCTAAGGTCACGTTGATACACCCTGACATATTGCAAACAGCACAACTGTCAAGACTCTCCCCGGTTCTGTAGTTGCAGAGAATAACGATAGAAGAGCATGGATGTCATATGCAATCTCTCCAGGATTTGAGAGATTGCGACTATGATAATTTTAATTATGTGGAGTTGGTTAATAGTAAGAATGTCTATTTTTGAAATGCATTTTTTCTTACCTTTTAATTTTGAAGACAGCCAACTAATGAAATCTGTCAAATGATAGGTTAACAGATTATTTGAAAGTACTCAGTAAGATCAATTGGGTAGAAGGTAGTTGGGCACCGTTCAGTCCCTTGGTGTGACTCTTCTATCCAGACCCTTGGGCACTCCCAACCAAAGACTGAGTGAGATGTGCAAAGAGGGTGTATGAGATTCTAGGGAGAGGATTAGTCAGTGCTGCCATCCTGCTAGGTATAAAATGAACCAAGCAAGAATGGGAGAATCTCATGACCATCCAAAAAGAAAAGCCATGAGAAAATTCCACCATTTGACCCCCAAGATCTTTACCTAAAGAAGAGGTGGTAGCAGAGGTGGTGGCAAGAAATATGAGACAGAATGGCAAATGCCCGAACCATGAAATAAGGCAAAGTAAGATGCCCTCTGGACACTTACCAGCAGTTCTAAACCCAAAACACCCACAGTCATTGCCACTGAGTAGATGTCAATTCATGGCGGCCCTATAGGACCGGCTGGAACTGCCTCCATGGTTTTCTGAGACTGTCACAATTTATGGGAGGATAAAGCCTGACCTTTCTCCCAAGATGTGGCTAGTGTTTCAAACTGATGACCTTGTGAATCACAGTCCAACCATTACACCACCAGGGCTCCTTAGGGGTTCTTAGGCTCTAAAGGAGTTTTGTAACACTTTCCTAAGCAGGGCACAGGCCAAGGAGCCATGTGACTATGAATGGAGGACCAGAGACACTAGAGAAGAAATACTACAGCCCAAAGAACTGTCTATTTGTCATTTCTGATTACGACTTGTTAGCTTCTCTAATACATCCTTATAAGCATCAGTAGTGTATTGCACATATTGTATTGTATTATCTGTGGATTTTGCATAGCTGTTACAACAGAATATTGAACCTAGAAGATACTAAGAATGCCAGGAGGGACTGTTTGTGTCATAATAGGGTAACGAAGGTTAAAGGTTGGACGTTTGTCTGAACTATGATGTATATAAATCAGTCTCGGGGTAAGAAGAATTGGCTTCTCCTTCTGCTTTGCGAAGCCAGGGGAAGTCAGATGTGAACTCATGATGTTCTTGCAAGCAGAAATAATGTACATTAACTTATTTTTCCCTTTGTCTCCTGCCCCCTTCTTCTACTTGTTCCTTTTTTACAAAAACTTTTCATTGTGAGACAGTTTTCCATTCAATAACTCATGCACACATGTCATTGATAATATCAATAAATAATAATCCACTTACTGGCCTTCCCATTTCCATTCTTTCTTTGCTCCTAACCCTTCTGAACTTTGTCCTGGGCTGCATTTTGCCCTTTTATTGTAATAATTGATTATTCTACGGTGTAGGATGTGTTATTCCCTCATATTATCGTTTCCTTTAAAGACTTGTCTACTGTTTGAAAACTGAGCCCTGGTAGCATGCACATCCCCAAACCTGAAGGAACACTCAAAGCCTTAATCTCAACGTTTCCTCTGGTCCCTAGTAGATCAGGAAGTCTGGAATCTCTTAGGATTTTGGGTTTTGCTACCTATTTTTCTCACTTTATCGGGACCTTTTACTGTGATCCCGGTCAGAGTAGCAGACAGCAGTGGCTGGTGCCATCTAGTTCGTCTGCTCTTAATGTCATGGAGATTGGTGTTTGCAAGGCCGATTCGTCCATTGAACTAATGATCTCTATGTCATCAATCCCTTTACTCTTCTTTGCTCCAGACAAGAAGAGACCAATAATTTCATCTTCGATGGTCTGACTGCTACCAAACTTTGAAGACCACAGCTGCTACACAGGAAAGCAACATGTAGAGTATGGGCATGTCATTGTGGGCTCTGCCATGTGCATTCACTTTTGATCACTGCAGTGAAATTAATCTGATACATTCTGGTTTGACTCTATAAGCTTTTAAATTTACATTTTGCATTTAAATATTAATTTGGCTAAATATTTTTCTTATTTAATATGTTTATTTTTTTTCTCAAGTTAAAAAGTTATCTAAGTTATGAAATACTTACACTTATGTAAATGTATTGAGGGTATAAGCATAGCTTTAGCAGATAGTATTTAATTCGTATTTCATACACTTTCTTTGTCCAACACATTAAAGATTCATTTCTAATAGTGTTCTCTTGGATCCTGCCTGGACATACTTGCCAAGTTTTATAATTATTTTGATGAATAACTGCTTTACTTCTAAAACAGATATATTCCTTCAGTAGTTGTTCCTTGTTGGCACATGAAATTAGTGCTTTAGAAAACACCACTGCCAACCCCCCTAACAGACAAACAAGCAAACAAAACTCACTGCTACTGAATCAATGCTGACTCACAGAGACCTTACAGGACAGGGTGCAGCTGCTCCTGTGGATTCTTAGGCTGTCACTCTTCACAAGAATAAAAAGTCCTGTCTTTCTCCCAACGAGCCGCTGGTGGTTTCAAACTGCTGAACCCCAAAGGTAGTGTGCATTTTGAGATAGTTATGTATAGTAGATATATAAGTATCACACTTACCCGTACTTGACCCACAAATGCATTGGCTTCTTCTTCCACCACAGATAAATTTCTAGGCAAATAAGCATCAAACACGGGAGCATTATCATTGACATCTGTCACCACCACATTTACTGTGGCAGTTGAGGTCTAAAAGGACAAAATAAAAAAAAATAAATAAACACAAAATCGAGTAATGCTAATTCTGTTTTGAAGTCAGTAAAGTGTTCATTCTGACACAGAACTTCTTCAATTTATTACTATCCCGGTACATGAATTTTACAATAAGAAAATAAAAAAGAACATCAGTTTGCAATTTTCAAACACTTTAAAAATGAAAAAAAAGTAAATGCTGACATCAAAGGGAAAACATTTTCTTGAAAATGTCAAGTATTTCATAGGGGCTTACTTCCAGAAAATGATGGTGCCTTTATCAAGTGCACATCTCCATCATGTCCACAAAAGTGGAAAGCTATTGCTTACACACACACACACACACACACACACACATCTTTCTTTTTATGAAGTGTGCTAATTTTATGCTTCTTTTTAATTTTTATACTTCTAAATGCTTGCAATTTCCCTGTTTTAAAATGAAACAATCACACTCTAAAATAGAAAACTATATCAAATGGATATTTTGAATCAAATTTGCTATCATAAAATACTATATTAGTAATGCTGTAGATTCACATGTAAACCAAAAGTTTGTTACATCAAATATTGGGTCCAAAACCTGAGTGATAATTGTAATTGGTTTTCTTTGTGGTTGTTGTCATTGTGTTCTCTTTTGTTGCTTTGTCTTGCTATGCCTTGTTGTTTTTGTTTATGATATTATCTTGTTGCAGGTCTATCTAGATAAGATAGGCTGGATGAACAGTCTGAAGGAAAAACAATGGGACCAATGGTTCCAGGAGGACATGGGAGAGAGGGAAGTGGGGGCCAACCCAGGGACAAGGGAATACCCAGTGATCCAAAATTAGTGGCAAGAAGGGCATGAGAGGCTTGGTAGGGATTTATCAAGGGCAAAGTAACTGAGAGAAATTACTGAAACCCAAATGAAGGCTGAGCATGATAGTGGGACAAGAGGAAGGTAAAAAGAATAGTGGAAAGAACTAGGAGGCAAAGGGCATTTATAGAGGTCTAAATGTTCATATGTACATTTGTAAATATATCTATTTTTTATATTTGTAAATATAAATACATGTACATATGTAAATATACTTTTATAGGATGATGGGGAAATAGATCTACGTGCATATATTTATAGGTTTAGTATTAAGGCAGCAGATGGACATTGGACCTCCACTCAAGTACTTATTCAATGCAAGAACACCTTGTTCTATTAAATTGGCATTCCATGATTTACACCTTAAGACAAATGTGTGTATAAGCAAATGTGGTGAAGAAAGCTGATGCTACCTGGCTATCAAAAGATATAGCATCTGGGGTCTTAAAGGTTTGCAGGTAAACAAGCAGCCCTCTAGCTCAGAAGCAACAAAGCTCACATAGAAGAAGCACACCAGCCTGGGTGATCACGAGGTGTCGAAGGGATAAGGGATCAGGCATCAAAGAACAAAAAAATCATATTATTGTAAATGAGGGGGAGTGAAAACCCAAAGCCCATCTATAAGTAATGGGACATCCCCTTACAGAAGGGTCGTGGCGAGAAGGCGAGCCAGTCAGCATATACTGTAACAACAATGAAACATACAACTGATTATAAGGATCTACATATAATCTCCTCCCTGGGGGATGAACAACAGACAAGTGGGTAAAGGGAGACATCTGACAGTGTAAGACAAGATAAACTAATAATAATTTATAAATTATCAAGGGTTCATAAAGGAGGGGAGAGAGTGGAGGGAGGGGGCAAAAATGAGGAGCTGATACCAAGGGTTTAAGTGGAAAGCAAATATTTTTAGAATGATGAGGGAAATGAATATATAAATGTGCTTTACACAATTGAGGTATGTATGGATTGTGATAAGAGTTGTATGAGCCCCCAATAAAATGATTAAAAAAATTCACCCAAAATGGAACACAGAAAGAGAAAAACTTATTAGTTAAGAGATAAGCATAGAAGCATCCTACAACAGAAAATCTATTTATTGGGTCTCAAATTATTTTGTGTTTCATTGACTGTGCGAAAACATTAGACTGTGTCAACCCTAATAAACTGTGGACAATCTTGAGAAGAATAGTGATTTCAGATCACTTCGTTGTGTTCATGAAGGACTTGTACTTGGATCAAGAGGTAGTTGTGTAAACAGAACAAGAGGAATATTGAATGGTTTAAAATCAGGAAATATTGAATGGTTTAAAATCTGTGTGCCACAGTTGTATCCTCTCACCATACTTGTTCAATTTGTATGTTGAGAAAGCCATCAGAGAAGCTGAGTTATATGAAGATGGGTGCCCCATCAGGATTGCAAGAAGGCTTAGTGACAACTCTGATAAGCAGATGAGAGAATCTTGCTTGCTGCAAGTGAAGGACTTGAAACACTTACTGATGAAGATCAAGGATTACAGTCTTCAGTATGGATTACAACTCAATGTAAAGAAGACCAAAATCCTCACAACTGGACCAAAAGATATCATCATGATAAATAGAGAAAAGATTGACGTTCTCAAGGATTTTGTCTTGCTTGGATTCACAATAAATGCACATGGAAGCAGCAGTCAAGAGGTCAAAAGACATATTACATTTGGTAAATATGCTACACAAGATCTTTTTAGAGTATTGAAGAGCAAGAATGTTACTTTGAGGAATAAGGTGCGCCTGACCCAAGCCATGGTACTGTCAGTGGCCTCATAGGCCTGTGAAAGTTAGACATGGAATAAGGAAGATGGAAGAAGAATGGAGACATTTGAATTGGGGTGTTGGAGAAGAATATTGAAAATATCATGACTGTTAAAAGGGTAAAATGATCTGTATCAGAAGAAGTAAGGCCAGTGTGTTCCTTATAGGCAAAAATGATAAGACTGTATCTTATATACGTTAGACATATTGTGAGGAGAAACCAGTCCCTGGAGAAGGACATCATGCTTGTTGAAGTGGAGTATCATAAAATACAAAGGCCTTCAAGGAGGTGAATTGAGAAAGTGCTGCATCAATGGGTTCAGACATAGGAACAATTCTGAGGATGGCAGAGGACCATGAAATTTCATTCTCTTGAGCAGAGGGTCACCATGGGTCGGAGCCAACTCAATAACACCAAACACCAACAGCTAATCCTGATTTCCAAAAATATTTATAAGGCTTTTTAACACCGTTAATCAGCTATTACTTGAGGGTGTGCCATAATTCTTAAAATATATGACAGGCTACACAAGCCCATAGAATACAGTAAACATAGAAAACATAGTGAGTACATAAAATAATTCTATAAATCATTATCTTGAAATCTACTTTCCAACTGACTGCTTTTGATTAACCTTATAATATGGCAGAAAAAAATCGGAAGGTCTCATTCCACTGTAAAGAGAGTTCACATAGTAGTTAACATACTACATTTGTGTTTGAACCCTTGGAAAAAGTCAAAATATCTGATAATCAAAGCAAACCAAAGCTGATTATGCATAAACATGGCTGATTCAAACCAAATTGTTGGCACTCCTGCTCGCAAGGCTTGTTCAGGGTTCACAAATTTAAGGTTCATACAGCAGTCACCAAATTATTACATTATGACCATACAGCTTAAGGAGATGTGAAGCAGGTAAACCTCAGTGCGGCATGTGGTACATCATTAAAGATAAAATCCGGGCCTACTGAAATCAGATCATATTACATGGTCCATTGACTTTGTGCAGTAGGGAAGCATGTACAATTCAAGTTTCAAGCTACCTTTTGTAATTAGATTCTACATAAAGTTCATGACCTCCACCTCACATGGCATGGAGTAGAGCAGAAAACAGGTGGACAAGGAAAAAAAAATCAAAGAATGTAACCACTATGCCAAAAGAAAATAAAATCCATTTGGTTATTGCATCAAAAATAATTAATATATTAATTTTAAAATGAGAACATAAAGCAGTAAGAGGTGGTTATGAGAAACCCAAATGTAATGCAATACAATTTTATTTAATATATATATGCACATGTATGTATATATGCATAGTTTACCTTTACTTGTAAAACCGTGTTCCCCTAGAGCCAATGTGCTGTTCTAAGACCTCTCTAGATGGGCTCAATTTACAACGACCGCTCACATTTTAGAAACAACTCTTCGGAGGTAATACATGCAGGGTAAAGGAGGAGGAATATCTCAGAAATGAAGGCTCAGACTGGCTGCACCACTGAGAAAATAGCATTGTCCAATTGTCCTGTAGAATATGGTAAAAGCAATAGGTTTTGTTGTGCATATTCTCACCTGCAACAAAATAAATTTTAAAAATACATAAAGGTAGAGAAAAAAATGCATGCACAACTTCTACAAATTTTTAAGTGGTATAAAGTGTAAGGCCAGAAAGCTGATCAATTGGATAAGGGTACAATAATCTGTACACTCTTAAATTAAATCTCATTGTGGTAGTTACCTAATCTAGTGTCAATTTGAGGATTAAGAGTGAAGAAGTAGACTCTAGCTTGTCAATCCAGAGTTAGTCAATAAGACCCTTGTGTGGGCATGGCCTTCTCCTCAGAATTCTGAGAACTGCTGATTGTCCTTGGAGACAAGAGACACACTCTCTGCTGACTCCCTGGGAGACACTGTAGCTGACAAGACATATGGAATTACACTAGGCTCCTGAGCTAGAGAAACCACATGGACCTACCCTGATGCAACCAGACCTCTAAAGCCAAAGACGCCACTTAGAGACCCCTGCCAGTGTTTAGATGCTTACACCACCACTGGATCCAAAGACTTTCTGCCTACTGACCTGTGATTGTCCTGCATTCAGTGTCATTGCACGTGGTCCATGAGTCTGAAGAGGACTTTATAGATTAGTATTGGACATATGGGCTAATATTGAACTATGGGCTTGGACTGGACTGGGTTGAGATGCTTTCTCATGTACAATTACCCTTCATATAAAACACTCTCATGAGTTTCTATGGATTTGTCTCTCTAGTCTACCCAGACTAACACACTCATGGAATGTCCAAAAATGGACATTCCTTGCTGCCATGTAAGAGACCAAAACCATAC